TCATTTTCTACCTGTAAATAGGGACCTGCTGCTTTTCTTTTTTCTAAAAGTACTTTATTTATTGATTTTACAGAAGGAGGAAGGGAGAGAGAGAGAGAGAAGCATCGATCAATTTGTTGTTCCATTCTATTTATTCATTGGTTGATTCTTGTATGTGCCCTGACCAGGGATTGAACCCACAACCTTGGCATATCAGGGCAATGCTCAAACCACCTGAGCTACCTGCCCAGGGGATCTGCTTTATTCTTTTTGATGAAACATCTACTGTATTGTTGGGCTATGTTTCAAATGACATTTGGGTGGCAGGATGTTGGACACTAGACTATTGGCCCAGGTAACACCTTCTTGTTACCTGTCTCTGTGCAGGGTTTTAGGTGGATTTTCTCTCCCCCACTCTCCAGAACCCCAGCAGGCTTATTCCCAGCAGTCAGCCTCAAAAAGTGGGGAGATGTTTGCTAACCTTCTATGTTATTTTCCTGGGTTCTTTAGAAAGGAGTGTTTTCTGCCTGGCTATCGGTAGATGCTTGAGGGGATCAAAGGGACAGTGGGGTACAAGGAAGACCGGCGGCCCAGAAGCCAGACTCTAGAATCAGACCCTGGGCTGGCGCCGCCCAGGGGGCAGTACCACTCGAGCCACTGTGTGGTGTTTCCCTGCAGAGCGGGCTCATTCTACAGAGTGAAAAGCAACAGGTGATACATTTTCTAACAATTGTGCTAAACCCAATATATCTAAAACACGATCAGTTCAACATGTAATCGATACCGAAAAATTATTGAGATATTTTATCTTCTTTCTTCCTCACTAGTCTTTGAAATCCAATGTGTGTTTTACTCGTACAACATATCTCAGTGGGACCAGCCCCAGCTCAGGAGTCCAATGGCCACATGTGGCCAGCGCCTGCTGTATTGGATGACACAAGTCTAGACCCTTCAATGGTCTCTGATTCCTAAATCCTCCGACCTCCAGTGCTAGACATGGAAAGCCACAGGCAAGCCAGGACAAGCACGTCTTCCTATTGTAACTTAATTTCCGCATCTGTAAAATGGGGACAATCAAACGTGATCTTGGTCAGGGCGAGGACGAAGAACATGGCAGTAGAGGAGTATGTGCTTTGGAGAGCAAAAGAGAGAGGCATGATTTTGTGGGATTATTGTTAGGACTAGTATTGACCTTGGTGAGCACTCCGAATGCACTCCCTGAGACCCACTTCTCTGAACCTCAGTCCCCTTGCCAGCCCCTGCTTCACAGGATACCCATGCCGAGGGCTCAGCACCAAGCTTCGCCCACTGTCAGCTCCCAGTCACTCCAAACGGCTACTGTGGCCATTCCTCCAACTGCAGAATGGGCCGGGCTGGAGAGTAGCTTGCCCAAGGTCGCGCAGTGAGATGGTAGTAGCAGACGCTGGCCTATTTTGGCTCCCTGCTTCTCGCTGGCAGGCATCCCCAAAAGTCAGCCGCTCATTTCCTCGCAGCAAGGTAACTGAAATAAACACACCGAAGCCACTGAACTACTTGAATGAGGCCCAGGTCCCAGTGTTGTTTCCATGGTATGTACTCTGGCGGGCACGCACATGTGATTTGTTTAAGATCGCAGCTCCAAGGGGCGGAGGCTGGGGTGGAGTCACTGCCCTGTACTGTGACTGTCGTGAGATGCCTCAGTGTGATTTCCGGCAAAGGGCCCTCTTCTGCATGGCACATGATGTACCTTTGGCGAGACTGCTGTGGAATAGAAAGTGGCTAAATTATACGCCAGAAAGCCCAAAACATTACATGTTATGTAACAATGACAGGAGGCCATTTTTTTCTGAGCACGCACTCTGTGCCATTGCCCAGCACCATGCATTTGCTGTTCCGTCCAGTCCTCCTAGCTACCCAGTGGGTGGTGAGTACTGGTGGTGACAAGGAGACTGAGGCTCAGAGAAAATAACTCACCCAGAAGCACCCAGAGAGGGCTAGAAAGTGTCTTTAAAATCATCCCTGTGGCAGAAGAGTGGCCAGCTCCCCAGGTTGGCCCAGGACTGAGGAGCCTGCTGGACACTGGACATTGGCAAACAGGGTCAAGGGCGTCTCCCTACAGCAGCTTAATTTATTCATCTGTAAAATGGGACAGTCAAACAGCACTGGTCAGAGTGAGCCTGAAAATACGGCAGCAGAGGAAGGTGCACTTCGGGAAGGAAGAGGAGAGACACCTGGTGTTGTGGGGGTATTGTCATGGCGAGTGCTCAGCACCCACCTACTTAGACCCAGGACTGTGTACTCCCTCTCTCCCCCTCCCTCCCTCCCTCCCTCTCTCTCCCTCCCTCTCTTTCCCTCCCTCCCTCTCTCTCCCCCTCTCTCTCCCTCTCTCTCATTCTGCCTCACAGCAGACACTGACTTATCCCTGCCTCTCAAGCCCAGCCACTTTCCACTTCCTTCCAAATTTCAAGTTACCTTTCTCGGGCCAAAGTCTGAGAAACAGCACCCCAGTTTCCTAAGCACCAGCCAGCAGCCCTCTCTGATTGGAAAGCAGCTGAGAAAGCAAGAGGCCAGGCTGGGGAGGTTCGTGGATTGCTGTTGTTCTTTCTCTCAAGCCAAGTCCAGCCTCTGTCCCTTGGTCAGGTCTGGCCCAAGCCAGCCTGTGGAAGAAGAAAGCAGAAACCTCGCCTTCCCAGGAGCTCACCTTCAAGTCCCTTCTTTAATTAGATACCTCAGCCTCATGCCCAGTGTGGACACTCAAGAGTAAGCTGGAGCTGCCAGCCGTCTCTGCCTCCACTTACACAGTAAACATCCTGGGTTTGGTACAGGGAAGAACCAGGGTTCATGGAGAGTTAAAGAAGCAAGGGGGCAGGGCAGACCGGTCCTCCCCCAATGAGGAGGGACACGTGGTTCTGGATGTTTTCTCTGCACACCTGAACCCCGACCGCAAGATGCTGAAAGACACTCAGCTGGGTGATACGCAGGCCACACATGCTCACACACACAGCAGAGAAATGACACAGTGTGAGGGCGATGCATGAATACGTGGAGAGAAACATACACACAGAACAACACCAGATGGAGAACGCAGCCCAGGCTGGGCTGGGTAGTCATTATTCCCTCACTCACACTGAGGGACTGGCGGGTTACGTAATGCAAGCTGCACAGGGGGGATGCTGGACTTGCTAACCAGCCCCGCAGGGCCTCCAGGAGGTGGTGCCTCCTTCTCTGGGGGGATGTCTGCACCCACTTCCTGCTCTCAGAGGCAGCAGGAGCTTGTCAGCTGCCTTAGCCCCGGGGTGACCCTGGGAATCCGCTAAAAGGGAAACGAGGGAGTGAGTGTCACTTTGTTAGTAGTGGCAGATGAGTGCTCTCTCGCTGAGCTAAGGCATGGTGAAGATGCCGGCAGAGGGGGCGCCAGGGTACAGATGGAGCTGGGGATAAGGAAAGAGCTGGACAGGTTCTTTACTGTCTCCCACCTGTCCCCAATCCACCCACAGCCAGAGATCACCTGTCTCAACCCAGACGCATAAGATACACATCACTGCCTTCTGTATACATACCACAGGTGTGTACACCCACCTGGGCCATAGCATCCTGTTGGCCTTTGGTACCCCAACCACACCTCATGTCCCTGAGCCCGGGGGAGCTGGTGACAGTTGCAAAAAGAACTAGAATAGAAATTTTTAAAACCTAGGGTCTAAGTGGAAAAGCTCAGGCTCAAGAGTTGGACCAACCCTCCCTCTGCCATCTCTCTCCACCTGACCTTGGACAAGTCACTGACCCTTCCCTAGCCTTGGTCTTCTTGTCTATCGAAGGGTTATTGTGAAAATTAAAGGAAAAAACCTATGTTAACAGTGCCTGTGCTCAGTAAATGTCCACTATGATTAATCTGAGATTTTTCTTCTTCATTCAACACTCGTTGAGCACTTGCTATGCTCTTGTGTTCACCTGGGGACACACAGTCCATGCTTGCTAGTGTTTCTCTGTTAGGGCTTCAGGCAGCCTGTGGAGTGAATGTGTCCTTAGAAGTTCTGTGTGGACCCGTGTCTTTGGTAAGTATTTTGCCCAGTTTGGTGTTTAATGTGGCCCGATCTGTCCTCTTGAACCTGGAACAAATCGACAATTACAACGAGGGTCGTAAAGGCCAATGGACATCTCTCACTGGTGGTTGCACAGAAGGCTGCATCCCCTCTCGGGGGTTGCTGTGAGGGCTTTGGGAATGGCAGGGATGGCGAGCTCAGAGACCCACGGGCCGAGCTCCTGCCCTGTGGACAGAAACTGTTTGTGAAACTCAGGGAGACAAAGGCTGTAGGTGTGACAAGTTGAAGGGGTCGCTCCTTTGTGGCAGGAGAAAATAAGAGAGGACGTATGATTCTTGCTTTTGGATTTCTGGGGCTGGCTGTCTGCGGTTTCTCCAGGGTTTTGATCGTGGAGATAAACCCATGCAATTTGCGAGTAACTGGGTTCCAGGAGAAGTATCCTCCTTGAAGATAAAGGATTTTGTAGCGAGGTTGGCTTCCAAACTCCAGAGCATCTTATGGCTAGATTTCTGAGTTCCCCATCTTCGTTTTGAAGGTAGCGTTGGGCACTCTACATCGGTCTCTCTCTCAGTGCAGTCTTTAGAGTTTTGTATGCACAGTATCATGTCATCTGCAAATAATGACAGTCTTACTTCCTCCTTTCCCTTTCGGATGCCTTTTATTGCTCCTTCTTGTCTGATCATTGTGGCTGCAACTTCTGGAGCTATGTTGAGTAAGAGCCATGAAAGCAGACATCGCTGTCATGTTCTTGATCTTAAGGGAAACGCTTTTAGTTTTTTCTCTTTGAGTACGATGTTGGCTGTAGGTTTTTCACATATGTAGCCTTTATGATGTTGAAGTATGATCCCTCTCTTCCCACTTTGCTGAGACTTTTTTTTTTTATCATACATAGGTGCTGGATTTTATTGGATGCTTTTTCTGCGTCTCTTGATGTGATCATATGATTTTCAATCTCTTTTTAATTCTCTCCATCCCCTCCCTTGTTCCTTCTCTTTGGCTCAGGAGGCCCCAGGTCTCGTCTGCATCTTGTGGGCTGGCCATGCCCAGAGAATAGTTCACAAGAGTATGCGTCACCTCTAGACGCATCCACCAGCTACTTCTCCTCACTGTCTGCCTGACCTGTTGCTTAGGGACAGGTCCCACTGCTTCTCCTGACGTCTGCCCGATCGACCGTCACTTCCTTAGAGAACAGGGAAGGAGACAGACGCATGAAATCATGCCACCAACAGCCAAACAGCAATGAGCGGGTAACGCCGAGTTGACGTCAAAGACAAGCCCAAGAGACTCGCCACGGCCCCTGCAGCCCCCGCCCCCCCCCCAGCTCCTTCTCAGCACAGCCTGAAGCTGGGCTCCTCCTGACGAGGTTCCCTTGGCTCAACGTAGTCTGAGGCTTTCAGACCCTCGGGCACTGGACACCATGGAGAACCACATGTTCAGCGTCCAGCAAATCCAGCCCAACGTGATTTCTGTCCGCCTCTTCAAGCGCAAAGTGGGGGGCCTGGGCTTTCTGGTGAAGGAGCGAGTGAGCAAGCCCCCCGTGATCATCTCTGACCTGATTCGCGGGGGAGCCGCAGAGCAGAGCGGCCTCATCCAGGCTGGAGACATCATTCTGGCAGTCAATGGCCAGCCGTTGGTGGACCTGAGTTATGAGAATGCCTTGGAGGTGCTCCGGGGCATTGCTTCCGAGACCCACGTGGTCCTCATCCTGCGGGGCCCTGAGGGCTTCACCACGCACCTGGAGACCACCTTTACTGGGGATGGGACCCCCAAGACCATCCGGGTGACACAGCCCCTGGGTCCCCCCACCACAGCTGTCGATCTGTCGCACCAGTCATCAGCCTGCAAAGAGCAGCTGCCCCCAGTGGATGGGGCCACCGGTCCTGGCAATGGGCCACAGCATACCCACGACAATGGGCAGGAGGCTGGCTCGCTGTCCCACACCAACGGCCTGGCGCCCAGGCCTCCAGGCCCGGACCCTGCCAAGAAGAATGCTGGGGTCACCCTTCAGGGCCGTGGGGAGCACAATGACTTGCTCAAAGAGATAGAGCCTGTGCTGAACCTTCTCACCAGTGGTGACAGACGGATCAATGGAGGGGGACCGGACAAAGCAGAGACAAAAGACGCAGAAGTCCAGGTGGACAGGTAAGCCCCACAGGTGTGCATACGCCCATGCACCTTGCATGCGAGCATGTACTGAAGCTCAGCCTCGCAGCCCGGAAGCCAGCCTGAGCTGCCCCTGACACCTGTGAGTGGGCACAGCCACTCACTCACCCTCTCCTCTTTCCCTTCAAGTGCAATTGCAAGAGCAGAATGGACATAGCTTCTAGGACATATCTCTGGCCATGAACCCCAGAGTTGTTACTCATCGTAGCTGGTGCCATGCCTTCCGATCTTGATCCCACATAACCCTCCAGCAGCCCCACAACATGAATATGTTTGCAATCCACATGTCAGGGGTGAGGAAACTGTGGCTTAGAGAGGAGGGGCCTTCCCAGCGGCCACTCAGTACGTGAGGTGGGTGTCAGGGCCCTGGGAGGAGAGGGGAGCTGAGCACCGGGAAGCCCTCAGCCCAAGCCTGTCCTCTCCTGAGACAGCCAGTCGCGGGCAATGAGGGTTCTAAAGGAGGGGGTTAGAGTCAAGGTAGAGAACTGGCCCCAACTCCCCAGGCGGGGTCCTGCTTGGATTCGGAGGGAGCGGAGGCTAGAACTCGAAGAGCTGGGTACCAGCCCCTCTGTGTTTGCCACGTCGGCATTTTTTGATTCTACAGAGAGGAAAGCTGGCAACACGGTGGGTAATTCTAGTTCCTTCTCTGGGGAGGACTTGGCAGCTGGGCCAGGTGGTCGGAGAATAGCAGGTCAGGAGGCAGGAGAGAGAGAAGTTTCTCTCCCCCCCCCACTCTCATTTTCACTCCAGCACTGACCCTGTGGCCCCCCTTGCTACCAGGGTGGGGCCAGGCAGGCCCTTCTCATCTACCCCCTCTTATGGAAGGGGACTCGGGTGTGGGCCCCACCCCCCAGCCAGAAACTGTGAGATGGTCAGATGTGAGGGACTCTAAGGGCAGCCCTTTCGTCGGCCAGCCTCGCAGCAGCACCTCGGGGAGCAGTGTTTGCTTCCCCGAAGGTGAGGGAGGGGCACACCGGTGTCACGCGCTGCCCAGCCTGCTTTCTCACTTGGGTGGCTGCACCCGAGCGCTGAGTCCACCCTGACCCATCACAGCTCTCCCTCTAGTTATTCTGTCACCCTTGCATGTAGAGCGGTTGTTTGACCAAAAGCAGCAGAAAAACAACCGTTTTGGAGGAGGTAAGATTTGGGGGAAAGCAACAGAGGGCAATGCAGGGCTCTGTGAAACCCGACAACGCGGGTGGTTCTGAGGCCGAGGAGTACTTAACGATGGCATGCGTTCCCCAGGCTCCATGGCTCACACCCGTGCTGGGCTCGGGGCCCCCCACCCCCGAGTTTTTAAACAAGAACTTTTAGATGCCCCCTCCACTAACCAGAAGCTAGTTCATGGATCATATAACCGACACACACTTTACATTTTTTAAAATCAATATAAAGCCCTAACTATAAAACAACGGGGACAGGGCATAAGAGTAATTTACAGTAAAATGAACCTGTAGTTTAATATATCAGCACTCAGGCATGACTCTGCTGGAATGGTCAGATGTTTGCACCTAAGCAGAGAATTGCTGCAGACACAACCGTGTCACAGGCAGATTGACACAGGTGTGTTGTTTTGGCAACTTGGATGTCACCAGCCGCATCGTTGCCTTAGTGACATGATTTTCTGAAATGGTGAATAGCTTTCAATAAAGCGATGCCCTGTCTGTCTTTGATTTCGTTGTAGTAGTGCCGTGCGTGGAAAATTCGGTATATATTTTAAAGCCTTGCATATATACCTAAGAGCAAATTGGAATCATGGCTCAGAAATTTAAGCATTTTTTTTAATCTGTATGAACATCCAAAGGTTCTGACTTTGTGGCAGTCAGAACACTTCTTCCTTGTGTGGGGGTATCCTTGGTGTTACAGAGTGTTCACGACCCCAGGTGCCACCTGCCTCCTTATGGACAGCCGTAAGTGCCCCCCACACAGTGCCAGACTGCCTCACTGAAATGTAAGTGCCTCACTGAAGATCGCTGTCCCGAGTGAAAGGGAAGGAAAGGGAAATGCAGAGACCAAGTGCCTTAGCGGTTGCTCTCGGGGCTGGCAGGCTGGGGAGAGTTCAGGCCCCTCGAGCATGTGGCTGCCTGGACATTACAGACCCTCCCAGGGGCCTCTCCATCCAGGCTGTGTGTTGGAGGTGGGGTCAAAACTGGCATTCCGGATTCTGGTTGCCACTGAGCAGGCAACAATGGGCGGGCTGCCCGCGCTGCCCACGCTGCCCGCCAGGCCTGGAGCCCCACATCCAGGTCACGTACTGGTCTGTGAGTTCCGGAGTCTGAGAGAGGCAGCTTCTCAGCAGTGACCCTGACCTTCTGTTCTCTTGGTCTCATTCCCTTCCTTCCATCCCTCTTTCCTTTCAGACAGACTTAGTCGGCTCCGTCTCGTCGCTCTCACTCACGGAGCACCCTCGTCCTGTTGTTTGGGGTGCTGGCCCTTACCTCACCCTCATCCCTTCATCCCTGGGGGGAGGTGGCCCTACCAGGTGGCAGCGGCAGCATGTGAGTGCAAGAAAGAGAAATCCGGGACCTCCTGCACTTGGGAACGGTCACTTTAAGATGCTACATGTCAGGGGCTATCCAGGTTATCAGCTTGCTGCCCCGAAGGAGGGTTCTAACGAGGCCAAGATCTCCGGTCCAGCATCCATCTGGACCAGCCGGTCAGCCTCGCCCTGTGCTCCGATAACTTCTCCTCCACTTGTGGGGCACTCAGTTACTTACAGATTACCTCCCTGCATGAATGAGGCTCCCTAAGTAGGGCGTGTGGTTTTAGTCCCCTTTATAGATGAGAACTGAAGCTCAGAGAGGTGAGGCATCTTGTCCAGGGTCACACAGCACTGCCCTGGTTCTACCTAGAAATCCCACAATGAGTTGAAGAGAAACCAGGCAACAGAATGTGGCTGGAGGAACGGAAGTCAATTTGGACCCTAGAGAACCAGCTTAATGGGGGGCGGGGGCCTCTTCTGCGAGAAGAAGCCTGAGTTTCGTTTTTGGTTTTTGGCAGGTGTTTTTTATTGTGGTGAAATTGGTATACAAGATCATACCTATTTCAGGTGTGTAACATACAGTATTTGTGTACACTGCATAGTGTTCACCATTGCACGTCTAGTTCCCATCCATCACCGCAGAACTGATCCCCTTCGCCATTTTGCCCTCCCCCTTCCCTGCCCCCTCCCCCTCCAGCAACCACCAATCTGTTCTCCACATCAACGTGTTTGTTTTGGAGACTTCACACATAAGTGAAATCATATAGTATTTTTCTTTCTTCCTCTGACTTACCTCACTTTGCAGAGTACCCTCAAGATCCATCTAGGTTGTTGCAAATGCCTGAGTTTTGTCATCATTGTGTTCAGCCTCCACAGAGCACTCTGGGGGGCCTAGACGCACGCCAAGGTCTTTACGTAATGTAATCCATTTGCTCCTCATAGCGCCCTGTTTGCTGATATGGAAACCAAGGCTCAGAGAGGTGCAGTTACTCATCCCAGATCATACAGCTAGCGAGCAACAAAGCCAAGACTTGACCCCAAGCCCATGCTCTTGACCTCTCCTGACTTGGGAGCTGGCACTGTTGGCCACAGTTCACTTGACCACTAGCCATCGAGGTTCTGAGGACATCAGCATATTTTCTCAGAGTCCAAACCCAGGGAAACTGAGGCCATCTGTCAGAGATGCCACCCCTGGAGACCTGACCTAGACCAGCCGATGACCGCGTGGGGTCCAGGCCTGTCTGTGTCAGAGGAGCTCTCCCTGCCGCACTTCATGCGCCTCGTAGCTGTGAACACCGTGACGGCATTTTCAGCCGAGGGATTGAACCCAGCACCAGTGCCTTTACCCTGAATCTCAGCGCAGCCCTTCGTTCTCGCCGTGGCCATTCAAGTGTGAGGGGCTTCCCCAGTCCGTCTTTTCCTGGGCAGGGGACAGAGACCCTGTTTATAGTTACTACTCTTGCCTTGTGCCCTCTTTCCATCTGTGTCCCTGTCATCTTGTCACGTGGGCATCCCCCCTCTCATTCTGGGGAAGCGCTATGGAGTAAGCCCACAAACCCACCCCAAACTGCACATCACCGAGGGGCTTCTCATCTTTCATTCAGCAAACGTGGTTCGAGCGTCTCTTCTGCCTCAGACTCTGTCCTCGGAACTGGGGATCCACTGATGAACCTCTGCCACTGTGGAGTCAGACCATAGGTTTTAAAAAGTGAATAAGCAAATTGACACATACAGTCCTTTTAGGCTGTGACACCTGCTATGAAGGAAATATAACAGTGATTTGAAGAAAAGTGGCTTGGGGTTGTAGAGACATTAGCTTGGAGGGCTGGGGAAGGCCTCTCTGAAGAGGCAACATTTGTACGGAGGCCAGAAGGTCCAGAACATGGGATGTCCGGGGAGGGTGTTCCTGGCAGGAGGCACAGCAGGGTCACAGGCGCAGGGGCAGGAACGGGGTTGGGACGTTCCCAAGACTGAAGGATGGTCTTGAATGTAGTAGGTAGGGGGAGAGTGGTAGGCAGTGAGGTCAGACCTGGGGACAGGGGCCATCAGCTCTCCAGCCACCATGCCACCCGTCTCTGTCACCATCCACTCCTCGTGTAAGTTTCCGCTGGGTTCTGCAACAGACACCATGAACTTGGTGGCTTAAAACAACGCACACTTATTCTCTGTGTACAGTTCTGGAGGGCTCCTGTCTGGAGGCTCTAGAAGAGAATCGGTTTCCTTGCCTCTCCAGCTTCCAGAGCTGCACTGCTTGCCTTTCCCGGCTCATGACCCCTTCCTCCATCTGCAAAGCTGGCATCTTCCTCCCGCCGTCACACGGCCTGCCTCTTCTGTAGGGATGCACCTCGGCCTTCTCTTAGAGGGGCGCTTCTGACTGCGTTTACAGCTCAGCACATGATCCAGGATGATCTCCCCATTTTCAAAACCCTTAAACAGGCCTGCAAAAATCCTTTTTCCACGTGAAGTGACATATATATGGGTCCCACGGATGAGGACCTGATGACTTTGGGGCCACCCTCTTCCACCAAGGTCCCACTGAACAGTATCATGGTCGGGTCTGTCACCATCAGTGTGAGGTGACGCCTCACTATTGTAGTGACCTTGCTTCTAGCCTCTGCCCTTTGCCACTCGCCAGCTACATGCTTTAGGAAAGCCCCTTGGACCTTAGTTCCCCCGTTTGCAAAAATGGTATTTGGACCAGATGAGCCCTAAGAATCCTTCCAGAACAACCAGGTTCCAACTGAAAGTCAGTGGTGGCCACTCTCAGCACAGGTCAAGCCACACCCAGAAGGTTTCCTGCAAGTTTTCCCGCCCCGTTGGCCTTCCCTGGTGCAGCACTCCGGGGGAGGAACTCCAGCATCCCTTTAGGTCAGAGGTCACACCCAGTTCTCCCACGAGTTCTGTCTGGCCTGCAGAGTTTTCTGAAAAGGTGAAATTGTGGCAAAGTAGAAGATTCCAGCGATTGCACGCTAAAACTGATTTCTAGCCTTTCAAAAAATAAAGAAAATATCAGAAGAGCTGTTAGCACAAAGTCCACCCTCCCGTTGAGACAGCCAGCCTCAGGAGCTGGCCTGGGGCTGCCGCAGGCTCTCCAGTGTCCCAGGGTCCAAACCCCCAGCCGGAGCCATCTGGGCACGGGTCTGAGACCCTGCACAACTGGTGTGACATGAGTGTTAGAGTCACGGCTCCCCCTGACCCCAGAGCCCTCGCATTCCTTCTCAGCCACGGCTCTCGCCATGGAATTCTCTCAACGGCACACTTTTCTCTTTATGGAGACCGTTTTCTTTTCCAGCATGATGAAATCTTGGAGAAAAGCTTTGCACATACCCCGGACCCAGTTTCCACAGTCCCCAAATCTTCCTGCTTTAACTCAGCTCCCAGCATCCGCTGCCAGGTGGAGGCAGAAACCAAAGGCTGTTGGTGTGTGGAGGGTGAGAAGGGGGGTCAGAGAGAGTGTGGCGTCTGCTGAGAGACGCAGGCAGGGCCTCCTGCCAGGACCAGCTGCTCCTCGGCGGCCTCCTTGCCTGGTTGGGCCAGAGCCGGCGGCCCTACCTGCAGGCTGCACGGCGCACACAGGCCTGGCCCACCTGTTCCCCATTCTGGGCCCTCAGGGTCAGCACTGGGCTGACCAACACTTGCACAGACTTTCTGAGGGGTCAGGCCCAGAGCCCCCCCCCCACTGCCACTGTGAGAGGTCAGAGGGTCCTGGATCCCAGGAAGCCTTGGTTGGAGGGATTTGGCAAAGGTTCTCAGAGGTTTAGAGATGCTATACCGCCGCCTCATGGCTTGGGTATGATCACCTAGCTAGAAAGGGGAAGAAAAATGGCTTTGGTTTAGTCACTGCCAGCAAGCACAGAAAATGCCCTCCAGGTGGGAGACGGAGTAAATATCAGGGCAGAGAATGATGGGAGGCAGGAGTCTGGAAGGGAAGCAGAGAATCCCCAAATTCCTGGGCTCCAGGAACAAGACATGACAGCTCAGAAAGGGTCTGAGTGCAGACGTCCCTGCCTCTGTCCCCCAACCTCCAGGGAAGACGCCCCCTTCCCAGGTAGGAGCCACACATGCCTTCGTGTCCCAGTCTTCGGAGACACGAAGACGTGAAGCGGCACCGTCCCCTGCTGTAGCCACTAGCCACACGCAGTGGTTTAAACTTAGTCACAGCTCAACAACTAGACGTTCAGTTCCTCGCCGACAATAGCCACCCTTCAAGCACTCAGTGGCCGCGTGTGCCCAGTGGCTGTGATACCGGACAGCCCAGATGCGGAGCGTGGCCGTGTGGCAGGCAGTCCTGCTGGCCCGCACTGGCTGAGAGGAGTCTTGACTGTCTCGTACAGAAGTAGCACGCCCCTTCCTCTGCTTCCGTCTCATCAGCCCACAGGCAAATGCACTGGACAAGAGAGGATCGTCGGCACCACATGGCCGAGCGCCGTAAGCCTGACCTCATTTACCCATCGCCACAACCCAGCAAACAAGGCATTATTATTAATCCTGTTTCAGAGATGAACAGGCTGAGAATTGGGACGGTTAAGTATCCAAAATACCCAAAATTGCACAGCTTACAACCAGCGAAGCCGAGCTGTTGAACTCAGTTTTATCCAATGCATCGTCAGTGCTCGTAACCCTCAGGCGGCGCTGCCAGACAAACCCTTCGGGCGGTCGGGTCCCAGGGCAGAGTTCCCTCCGATCTGCTCACCACCAACAGCCTGGGGGCGGGGGTCTATCCAGGTTTACTTCTAGTTTTGCCCCTGAGTGAATGGAAGCAAAATAGCTCAACCTGCTAGTTCCCCCGGTGCCATATTAAAAATACTCCTCCTCTGCCAATCACATGGGACTCTTAAATAAGTTTGTGTTAACAAAACACTTCAAAAGCATTATTTAAACAAAGTTGTTAAAAGTCTTCTTTTAAAGGCAGATGATAAAAGCGGCTCTCTCCCAGGAGGCTCACATAAGACAAGCCGTGCGAGCCCTTTCCGAGCTGCCTAGGTAATTGTACCCTGTAATTTTTGTGAACGGACCTCGTTCTGGGAGAGATGTTGGATTACTTGCTCTTCAGCCTCTGACTTAGAGTGAGCGTCCTGACGTGCTTTTCCTGCCTCCGCTGTTTGAAAAAGGAAGGATCGGCTGAGCGTCAGTCAGGCCCAGCTGCGAGTCCCAGCTCTGCTTCGTGCGTGCGGCGGGACCTGGCAAGGTGGCCCAGCCTCTCTGGGCTCCGTCTCCGCATCGGTAAAAGTGAGCTTTTAGTCTCTGCTCAGGTGAAATGAGATAACTTCCATGCCAGTCCCTGGTGCATTACAGATGCTCAGATGGTATCACCCTCATCCCTTCCCTGCCGAATCCCCGTTTTCGGTCATGTGATGTCACGGAAGCAGGAGTTTCAGAGCTGAGAGCGAGCTGAAGGGCATTTCAAGGAGCCCTCTCAACAGACAGTTCCTCTGTTTATCACCACGTAGGTAAACCGTCAACTTGGGTTCTGTGATCAAGAGCCAGTCCCCATGTGTTTTGGTGCCTTTTTAAAGGGGATAAAGCAGTGTATTCTCTCTGACAATTGCAGACCTCTCCAAGCGGGAGAGCGGAAGTAGCTTTTACATGGGCCACCAGAACTATGTGAAATGCAAGCAAGGAGGGCGGGTCTGGCTGGACCCAAGCAAGCAGCCGGAGCGGGGGCTCAGGGCCGCGCACTCACTAGGGCCCTGGCTCCTGATTCATCCCGAATAGCTGTCGGCACCAGATTGCAGGTCCGGGTGAATTATGGAGCCAGGACCAGAAGTCCCCAGAGCTGGGAACATAGAACAGAGGGCTAGGCACGGGCCAGCCTGTATGCCTGGGACCAAGACCAAGATGGGCCACAGAGCAGGCCACAGCATCCAAAGCTGGGGAGCAGGCAGATGCCGCAGTCAGAGTAAGGCTGGGTGGGAGGCTTGAAAAGAAGCAGGTTGTCGGAAGCGGGAGGGCAGCACTCGGGGGAGGAGGAACAGGTCTGGATTTGACACAGTCATCCCCTCCCAGCCCTGATCTCTCTCCATTTCAGAGGACGGCTGAGAGAGCCTCCTCCCGAACCTATTCGAGTGCTAAGCCTGGGAGCGAGGAGAGCTGTGTGGTTGAGAAGTCAGGCTGGAGAGGCAGGAACAAGCCTGAGTTTGAACCCTAACTCTGCCCTCGCTAAGTATGTTTCTTGGGCTAGTGATTTAACCTCTCCAAGCCTCTGTTTCCTCATCCGATGATGACTAGTGATGGTCAAGATGGAGGAGGAAGGTGGTGCTGGTGACGATGGCGGTGAGGATTATGGTGAGAGGAGGATAATGATGAGAGTGATTATGGCGGTGGTGATGTGATGGTGAGGATGATGGTAGCACTGGTGATGACGACTAGGGTGACAGTGATGGTTATGCTCGGAGTGGAGAGCGGCTGGGTGGTATGATGTGATGGTGATGATCACAAGATTGATTGTGGTGACGATGGTGATGATGGTGGTGATGATAACGATGATAATGATGGTGACAGGTGATGGTAATGACGAGAGCCTCCACTTCAGAAAGGATGTGAAGAATGGGCTGGGGGACTGTGACCTTGAGCAATTCAGCTTTTGTCACCTCTGCCACCTGTAAAATGGTGATTGATATTCATATCTAACGGTTATCACAAAGGTTAAATGAACAAAACGTATGTAAAGTGCTCAGTAAACATTAGCTATCATGATTAAAATTATTATTATTGGTTTTTATGTTCCCTTATTTTCAGAAGCATTCCTGTCTATCCTGGCCTCGTATCTTTAGTCCTGTTACCCACGCCTTAGCGTTAGAATGACTCGCCGCCCTGGCCCACAGGACTTGTTTCTCCCCTGTTCCTCCTGCTTCTTACCTGAGGAAGTCTAGGGGCCACTACTTTGTCCAGGGATTCTGCATGGGGTGCAGCTAGGAGATGTGATTCCTCTGTTTTTGGATCTATGAGGGAGGGGGTAAGGAGGAGCAGAATCCTTGCCATGGCCACCCTGAAATGAAGTCCACAGAGATGGGTATGTGCCAGCCATCGGCGCCAACTTGGATGAGCTCACCTTTGAGTTCGACAGCGGGGCTGCCCTCCCACCTGTTGCTGGCCATCCTGGGAAGCGGCAGGCTGGGCACCTGGTGCTCTCTGGCTCCTCACAGAGTCACATGGATGAGCGGTGGAGGTTCTGGATTGACTCAGGAATTCCAGACCAGGGCAACCAGCTGGAGAGGGTAGCTGACATCATGCTCCTCACCTCTCCCCGACCTTGCCTTGCAGAAATCTGGATGACAAGTCTCACAAACCTCTGCCCCTCGGCGTGGAGAATGACCGAGTCTTCAGTGACCTGTGGGGGAAGGGCAACGTGCCTGTGGTCCTCAACAACCCGTATTCGGAGAAAGAGCAGGTGAGTGGGCGGGGCCAGCGGGGAGGGCGCTGGGGCTGAGGCTGGGGGCACCTGTCCTGGGGTGTGGACTTCAGCTTTGGTGTGTTTTGTGTCCTTTGTGAGCCTGCCATTTCTCAGGTTTTAGTGCTGCTTCTACATTAGAGTTACTCACATGGTTCTGAATTGAAAAGACATAAAATATACATGGTGAAAGGATTTTCTCTCTCCCCTAACCCCAGCCACACAGTTTCTCTCCCCATAGGCAAGCAACATTCATTATTCTCGTGGTCCTTGTAGCGTAGACAAATACGCACACACATTATTTTCACACTTTTTACATAAATGAAAGTTCATTATACATATTGTTTTGCACCTTGCTTGCTCACTTGTCAGCGTATCTTGGAGATTCGTATTAATTAGTAGCTAAGAGTGTCCTGGTTCTTTTTCACAGCTGCATAGTTTCCCCTTGCGTGGCTCTGCTGCCTTCATTGAGACAGCCCTCCAAAATGGACACTCTTGGGTCATTGCCAGTACTTTGCTGTGACATTGCTGTAAAGGATGACATTGTATAAACACCTTATTTGGCACATGGGCGGGCTTTTTAATAAAATCAATCCCTAGAAGTGGAACTGCTGGGTCGAAGGTCATGCTCACTTGTTCTTTGGGCAGACACTGAGAAATGGCTCATCGTGAAGACTGCGCTGATCCTACCGGCTAGGTAGGAGATAGTTTCCCCACAGCCTCGCCAGCTCTGTGTGTTGCCGAACTTTTCAGTCTCCGCCATTTGCTGGGGTGTAGTCTGGCAGCTGAGCAGGTGCGGTTCCGAGAGTGGCTAGATCTGGCTGGAGAACTGCAGCACCTTTTCCCCCTGCCCAGACAGGTGACAGACTGGATCGGTGCCGCCCTAGTGAGGCGTGTGGCTCTCCCTCGCCTCCTCTGTGCGGCAGCGAAGCGCAGGTGGACTAAGCAGCAGCGGGAGGGCACGACAGGGCGATGGTCCAGGTTGCTCAGCAGGCCCCCTTCTTCCTTCCCGACACCTGCCCCAAGCCGTGGGTGGCCCGGCTCTTTTCCTGGTGCCTGATCTATGGCACCTCTCACCACTGGCTCGTCTAAGCAGTGACTCAAAGCCTCTGCACAGCTTCGCAGGGGAGGATGGGACGTCGCAGGGTGCCAGTGGGGACTGCTTTCCTTTCACAGCTGCTGACGGCTGGCCAGGCAGATAGGAACATGAGGGATTCTGCAGTAGGCCGGACCCGTGCTCCTGGCCAACTGCTTTACCTTGTGGAGGGACTTCTAGGGGTGTTTGGAGGACAACTGTAGCTTCCTGCCACGCTGCCTCAAAAATCAAGGTCACATTGTGAGCGTGCGGGGACTCTGAGGCATGAATGATTAAATGAACAAATTAAAATTTTTTTTATTTCTTTCTTCCTTGAAAATGAAGAGGTGTTACCCTAATGCAAACCCTCCCAAGACAAAGGACGGAATGAGGCAGCCTCAGGCCAGGGTCGGGCTGCAGACGGGATTCGTTAGAGCTACACTGTCTGATCCCGAGAAACAATCTTTGTGTGAACTTTGACTTTATCGCCAGTATTTCAGAATTTTGTATAAATATCATATTTAGAACTTCTCTTAGGAATCTGGACAGTCTGACCACGTCGAGCCTCTGTTCCTATGGGGCAGTCATCTCCTGGGCGAGGGGCAGCTGCCCCTCTAGACGGGGCCTGGGCTCTCTGGCTTGCCACAGCCCCCACCCTCCTTATGGCGTCCTTCTCATTGAGCTAGAGGAGAGGCAGAGGAGCCCTCGACCCCACCAGAAGGACCCCGAGAGTCCTGCTGAAACTGAGCAATAGCAGGACTCGGGCCATTTCCTTTCATGCTGTCCCCCTCGGTTAGACAGGGGTAGCTTGTAAAACATACCCTTGAACTTCAAGCCTGAGTGGGCCTCAGTACTAGGCACAGGGCAGACATGATTAATAGGACCACTGGCCACCTTTGCAGGGCATCATGGTGAAATGATTACTATCCGTCTCTTTGGGCTGCTACAACCCAGTAACATAGACTGGAGGCTTGTAAACAGCAGGCATTTATTTCTCATAGTTCTGGAAGCTGGGGAGCCCAAGATCAAGGTGCCAGCAGATTCGAAGTCTAATGTGAGCCTGCTTCCTGGTTCATAGACACAGTCTTTGTGCTGTGTCCTCACACGGTGGAAGGGGCAAGGGAGCTTCTGGAGTCTCTCATACAAGGGCCCTAATCCCTTATTCATGACCTCATCACCTCCCAAAGGCCCCACCTCTTCACACTCTCACCTGGGGGTTAGGTTTCCACATAGGAATTTGGGGAAGACACGTTCAGCCCATAGCAGCGAGGGAAAGGTGGTGAGGGCTTGCCTTGGGGCTCCTCTGAAATGCCAATTCCAAGTCCTTGGAGGGGGAGAAAGGGTCCTGGGGAGGGGGCACGACTGAGTCTTCCCGAGGTTAAGGCGGCCGAGTAGCTTCCCACTTGGGAGCCCCTGGAAGCACACACAGAGCCCAGCGGTGCAGGGGTTCCCACTCACTCCTGCATCAGCAGATGCTCCACGTGGTCCGCGAGTTCTCACCCACCACCAGCCTGTGAGACCATCCCTTCCTCTGCTGTCCGAGACGCCGTGTTCCAAGTGCCTCTCGGAAACAGAGCGGAAAGGAGCAGAGGCCTCCACGCTCGGTCACCTTTGCGTCCCAGGGCTCGGGAAGCAGCCCCATTCCCTCCTGTTAGACAGCTCCGTGGCCACGGGGCTTGGACATGTTTCCCAGCCTGAGCAAATTCACAAAAAATGCACTGTCCTTCTGTACGACCTGAGACACAGATTGAACATTGACACCATTCACGATAATCCTCTTACGTGAACATGCTACCCTGGTGAAATGGCTGGAGAGGCTCCTCTTGTCCGTTCTCCCTGCAGAACTTCAGGACAGAATCAGGGCCTCTTCCTTTCCCCTCGTACTCAGCGTCTGTATCCCTCACCTGCCTGATTTGCTCTCCTAAGGGGTCAGGGTGGAACCGTGCCCTGCTCGAGGGCAGAACGTCTGTTTCCAGATACTAATTAAGCATCAGTCCAGTCCTTGGTGGGTGCACAGGGAGTCTTGGGACGGGGGAAATGAGATTTCCGTGTGGCGTTCTTCCTCTTTTTCAGCCCGCTGCCCCTCTCTCCAGCCTCCTCCTGACAAAAGCGTTCAGGTAGTCAGATGGCTTCCATTGAAATCCCCCTCCCCACTCCCTCCGCCTCATCAGGAGCCTGGCAGTCCCTCACCCCTGGGGACACAGGGCTTGCCAGCTACTTTCCAAATGTCAGAATCTGTCGAGAAGTTTTTCTCTGTTTCCAGGTAAGTGTCAGCATCACCCCACTCTCCGGAGAGCTCCTTATGAGGCGAATGGGGAATGCTGTGGGTCCCTAGTCTTCAGAGGCTTGTGGGCCCATCTCTGCATGAGGCTCGCAAGTGCTGGCTTTGCTGAAAGCTAGAAAGGGGGCAGCCAGACCCAGCGAGGTTGTGTCCGCATGAAGGGAAACCAGCAAAGCACACTGCCCTTCGGTGACAACCCAGCGTGCCGAGGGGCAGCCTTCTAAGTCAGCCCTGACTCGCTGAGCATGACCGATGTGGGGATGAAAATAACAACTACGCTGATAACAAAGCCACCTTGTAGGGCGTGGCCATTCTCACCCTCCTACTCATTCTCCCACAGCCCCCGGTGAAACACTCAGCTCTGGAGTCAGCCTCTAACCCTTGGGGACCTTGGTCAGACAGCTAGTCTCTGCACTGAGCCTTCCATCCCCAACAGGGTCTAACGGATGCATCGAGGTGTGGGACAGACGACATGATGAAACGCTGTGTGAGACAACAGCGTCACTTAACGATGAGAATAGCTACTGTTGTGTCTTGAGCCAGGTCAGGCACTGTGCTAAGCAGTCTGCAGCTTCATTTCATTCCCAGCCCACCCCGATGAGGTGCTGTTCTCATCCCCACTTTATAGATGAGTCAGCTGAGGCACAGAGAAAGGGGTTAGTAGCTCAATGAAGGTCACATGACTAATACCTAGAGGAGGTGGGGCTTGAACCCTGGCCATAGAGCCACAAAGCCCACTCTTAACTCTATAGAGTCTGGCCCAGAGTAAGTGCTCCAAAAATGTGTATTGTTGTTGTTGTTATTATTTGGGTAATTATTATACTGCCGATGTGGGTATAGATGTATTACTAATTCCTGTACTGCTGGTGTGAGGCGGGTAGGACAAGAAGCACCATTCCTCTTTTACCGATGGCACGCTGGCAGCCCAGAAAGGGGAAGTGAGCACCCACTGACTCTTGGTGACAGAGCTGCACCTCTGTCCCTCTGCAGCCACATCGTCATCCTTGTTGATCATTCAAATCAATGTCGCGTATGGCACTCTTGCCTCCTGGGGGCCAGGCTCTGGGAATACTTGGAGGGCACAGCGGTGAGGCCAGGAGTGGAGAGGCAGGCACCCCGAGGTCCTGGACCCCATGCCCAGCCCTGTTGCCTGTGAGTTGTTAATCTGAGGATAGAGCCTCTGTTTCCACACCTGAAACATGGGTTCCCATGTAATCCAGTGAACTAGCAAATGTGCAATGGCCGAACCCAGGTTGGGCACCAAATAGGCTTTCACGAAACACTACTCAAAATGCAATGAAACTGAACGTGATCTCTGCCATGGAGAAGTTCACAGCCAAGGCATCCTCTTCCCATCATACGTGTGACTCCACCTCCAGGAATTTCCGCTTCCAAGACAGGCTTCAGACGCAGACACACACACAGCAGTCACCGCCCCGTGCTGGCTGGGCTTCCTGGGACTCTGCACAGAGGTTCCCGCCTGCTGGCTCCTTTGGCCCCAATCAAGTAGACACCTTGGGGTTCCAGGTGATAACTTCCTTCCCTGAGCCTCTTCAAAGCACTCGAGAAAGCTCCGTGTTTTGACATTAATTTCTGTCTGTGGGCGGGTGCCCCACATCCCTAGCTGTAAGTGGCTTTAAGCTC